GATCCATCTCTTTTTTTCATTCAACAATAAGCACACAAAAAATATCTCCCAGAATTAAACTATTAAATTGTTCCAAAGCAGACTAATCACTTAACCTTCAGATTGAAATGAATGACATATTATAGTTTCATAGTTACATAATTTTGTCTGTTTTGAAAATAACTCAAGAAATTATTACATTGTGAAGTTATTGCTCTGTGATTATTAATGAGGAAAGTGGGATCATATTTTAGTTAAGTCAGAGTTGCCGAATGTTAAAATATGTAATACTAAACCTTAATGTATCAGACATTAACTTGGTCTAAAAATGCTGTCTTACCTGATATTTAATCTTAATGGATATTTTAAAATGACCTTATAGAATTTTATGTTTACATTGCTATCATTATTTGGAAAAAGAAATCTGTCTTGAAGGAAGAATCACCAGCGGCAAAATTAAAATTGAAATCCTATATTGTGGGCTTGTCTCTATCAGGTGTTTTATTCAAGAGGAGCATCTAAAGATAGAATTCCTGTTTCCTTTTAGCTTTAAGCATATATTCTATAACCCTAGAATTCCATACTACCTAGACAAGGGAGATCAGAAGTGATTGCACGATGTTCAGTTAATTGAAAATCACCTTAAGCCCTCAGTCTAACCCACAGTGTAGTGGAAAGACCCCTGGATTTGGAGTCAAGGGGACTTGCATTCAAATTCCGATTCTGCTACTTATTAACAATGTGTCCTTAATTTCTATGACTTTTGTTTCCTTATCTGTTAAATGAGAAGTTTAGAATAAATTATCCCTTGAGTCCTTTAAAACTCAAAATCCTTTAGTTCTATGAATCCTTCAAAAGCCTGGGTTCAAGTTTAGTGGACAATATTTGGCCCCACTTGTTATACATTATTCCCCCTATGTTAACTGTGCTTATCAAATTTGCAGATGAGACAATATTATGATAGCTAACATATTGTATAACAAATGAGATAATGTATTGTATGTATTTGTACATGCATATATGCATGTATACACATACATTATTTTGCACCCCTTTAAGTGCTATGTAAATATGAACAATTATTACATGTAGTAGATTCAGGATCAAAAGTATCTCAACCATGTGAAATGCTGGTATGAATCTAATAAAATGAAATTTAATAGAGACAAATGTGAATCTCCCGTGAACCTTATAAAGATAAGATGGGGCAGGCAGGGCTAAATAGACTATAGGTCATCTGAGAAAGAGCCCAGTTTCCTCATCTAGAAAATGGCAATAATAACAGCTAGTATTATTGTGGTGGTTGTTGTCAATATTATCATCACCATCATCATCATCATCATCATCATCATCATTATTATTATTATTATTATTATTATTATTATTATTATTATTATCATTATCATTATTATTATTATCTGAGTTCTCTTCACTGCCCTGCCTTTCTGGTCATTCAGGGAATACCACTTGGGCCCTCTTTTGCTTTAGCTTCCTTAATTTATATCAAAAGGGGCCTGCAATAGCCTTCACTGGAGTTCTAACTTTCTCTAGCAACTATGATTCTGTGTTGAAATGTAGGAAATCCTTTACTACCTCATTCAGAGTTAACTATTGCACTGATAGGCCACAATAGTGTATATATGTATGTATATGTGTGTACATGTGTATACACACACATACTTACATATATGCCATTGCAATGAGAGACCAAAAAACTCCGTGATGTAAAGGAGAGTAACATATGGAAATAAGAAGTCTAGGCAAAGTGCTGTGATCATTGACTATAGCAAAGATGTTCTTAATATTTTAAATATTTTTAGTAGTATTTTATCAGAACATGATCTTTTTTTTCTTTAGATGCATGTTAGGTTTTTTACATTGACTATGATTTTATTAAATCAAGGAGAGATCTAGAAATATACATACATGTATGTGTGCACCAAGAGGCGTAGAGTCCAGCATTACAGAGAGAGCTGATAGTCTTACTCTATTCTAGTCTGGTCTCATTGACGATATTGTGTTCTATTCTGCATGCTGCATTACAGAAAGGACGTTGATTGCATTGACAAAGCTGAAGACTATCCAGAGAGCAAAGCTGCACAGTGGTAAAAGGGCCTCATGGTCATGCCATCTGAATCAAGTGAAGGAACTGGGGGTGTTTAGCTTGGATGAGAGCAGCCTTAAGAAGAACATGGTGTCGGTCTTCAAATTTGAATGTGGAAGAGGGGTCAGACTTGCCTGGCTTGGCCCCAGGGGACAGAATTTAGGAGTTAGAGATGCAGATGCAGGCTGGACATCAGGGGAAGATTCCTAACAACTAAACCTTTTGAGGAAAATGGCTGCAGAAGGTCATGGGCTCCAGCAAAAGGTAGATGGCCACATGTTGGCTTTGTTATAGAGATTTTTGTTCCAGTATGTTTTGGCCTTGAAAAAATAACCCCTGAGGTCCCTTCTGACTTCAAGATCCTGTGATTTTTGTGGCCATCTGAGTCCCTTTCCTTTATAACTTAAGGAGAATAAGAACCCATTAGTGATATTGACTCACTAAGAGCTACCTCAAAATCTGTGCTAATTTACCTAAGTAGAGCAGGGGTGGGGAAAAGAATGTATCCATTCAGGCAATGTTTTAAAACAGTTGTGCCATTTTTTTTCACTAGCATTCACTTGAAATAAAATGCTCCTAAACCACAAAAGACATTCCCTCTAGTTCTAAAAATAACATAGCCTAAACATTGCTATGAAAAAAATTTTATTAAAAAAAGAAATTTGCTTTTATGATATATGTTCATATACTTGCTGTAGCTTGAACTCCCAGAGTGATGGATTTATACATTGTATAAAAATATGTAGTGTTAAGATGTTTACTGAAAAATATTAATAGGTTTCTGAGTTATATAATTTAACTTCACTGTGACTATTTTGTAACAAAATAATATGTTTTGCTTGCTAGATTAGTCATGCACTCATACGGCTCTACAGGTATATGCTGCGCATTGTAACATGCTGTTGAATTCCATGGAAACCCCGAGTAGGGTGTGGTCTGAGTGTGGGGGAGGTTGATCAGGAATAGTCGTTGACTCTTTAGTAATTTTCTTTTTTGAAAAATAAAGATGTCAGCTGTCCCTTTTTGCAAGACATTTAATTTAGAAGATTTTCCTGAAATACTTTATTCCTGAAATAGACAGAACTGTAGGCCGATTGTGTCATTTCAGTTAATCAAAACAAGTAGTCAAATTAGTCTCTTTTATTTTTTTTAATGAATGTAATTTAACGGCATTTAATTTGCATACAGGAAAGTTCACCCTGAGAAAAAAAATCTGCATTATAGCACTTTTGTAAACCTCAACAAAGCCCTTCATTAGGAGACCTAATTACTTTTCTCTACCTACTCCTAAGGAGAAAAGCTATCACAGTACCTGGTCATTCATTCAGACAAGAAAGCGTGCCTGGTGATTCAAGCAGAGACATGGGTGTGAGATTCCTGTGGCTCTCTTCTTGCTGGGTGATTGTAACAAGTTTAGAGCAGCTCAGGTAATCTGAGTTCTCTTCACTGCCCTGCCTTTCTGGGTATTCAGGGAATACCACTTGGGCCCTCTTTTGCTTTAGCTTTCTTAATTTATATCAAAAGGGGCCTGCAATAGCCTTCACTGGAGTTCTAACTTCCTCTAGCAACTACGATTCTGTGTTGAAATATAGGAAATCCTTTATCTGCTTAGAGGAATTAGGCCTGGCTCCCTGGAAACCAAGAAGCAAGCTTTGAAGAAGTCTATATACCTATGCCCCACCTCTTCAGAGAGGCAGCAGTTACCCCAGGAGCACCCATCAGGATCTTTGGTTTCTGTATGAGGCCTGCCCTGACTGTATTGGAGTCTCCACTTGGGCTCATTGCTCTTATAAGTGAGTAGGAGATGCATTAATTGCTAGGGTAAGAACAGAGGGAAAACATACCAGCAGTGACCAAAGTCCTTTTGCCATGTTGTAGCCCTTGTGTGATAGGTGTGCTGGGATATGTCTGCGACGATCTCCTTTAAGCCTCTAGAAGTTGTGGGACAAGTAGAATGATTTTCAACTCGTAGTTTATAGCTACTAGCAATACCAGAATAGAAGAAGGAAAAAGAAAAAGGAATAAAAACTTTTGGAGGACAACCATGTAGATGTACCTGGGCTCCCAAGAATTCTGTGCACACAGTATGAGAGATGAATTAAGAGAAATAAGGTAATCATAGAATATTAGAAAAGGGAGCAATCAGTATAACTCCCTCATTTTACGGATGAGGAAACTGGGGGCCAGAGACAAGAAGCAACTTGGCCAAAGTCATATGCAATTAGCAGGAGATCTATGTCAACTATAATTCAGGCCTTTTGGTTTCTACTCCATTATTCTCCCTCCTATCTCATGTTAACACTGAGAAGACACCATAAGATTTGCATTTTATTTAGATCATTGTGTTTTTGTCTTTACAAATATACATACTTATATGTGTGTATATGTATATGCATGTATACATGTGTGTATATATATATATATATATAGATACACACATATACATATATACACGTGTGTGTGTGTGTGTATGAGTATATACACCTCAGAGGCTTGGCCATGCAGCAATTAATATTTTTTAGTCAAAGAAACTCATGAAGATCATCTACTAAAGTTTGAAAAGAGTTTCATTCTCCTCATGGCATGGAGGCAACCCTAGATTCTCAAAGGCTTTACTAGTGGTTCACAAGCTCTGATAATTTCTATCAACTTATACAAACTTTGATTAATGGACTAATGGTGTAATATCATCCCAAGTCTAGTCTAACTAAGGGTAGAAAGACTTATCACTGAAAAGTTGGCCCAGTGATTTATTTTTTAATCATAATAACTCTACTAAGTTATGGAAAAGTTACAATCGATGTTGGTGAAGGGAGCACCCACGTTGTTGAAATCATAGCTCCTTTGAAGTAAAAAAAAGATATAAATATGTAAATTGACCAATATTCCACAGATTATTCTTAACTGTATCCTGTAGATGTGAATGACATCATCACAAGGAACCGGAAGGAAGGTGTGTTTAAGACTCAAGCAATATCAAGCTGGTAAGCATTTTTCAGTGCGAAAAGATTTTGGGTATTCACAAGTGTGTTCTGATGCTTTTAGTGTTCTGGATTGGTGAATGTAACTGTAATGAGAAATATTTGTGGTCTGAAATAGGAAATTTACTTCCTACCTCAAATGATAGGAAATTCAATTAGTTTTTTTTTAATGAATGATGTTTAAGAAGACAAGATAGAATTCTTTCAAATTCTGTCAATTCTGACCTGAATAAATAATGGTATTCATCCTTAATCAGCATCCATATGTATATATATATATATATATATGCATGTGTGTATGTATATATGTGTGTGTGTATACATATATGTATATGTGTATTTTGTGTGTGTGTGTGTGTATACAGAGAGAGAGAAATATATCTTTGTACATTATTTCTCTGATCATAGAAACAATCAGTTATGGAACCCAAGATAGACAAGTTTTATGTAAAAATGTGTGTTTATGCATTTTACCATAGGCATTACTTCCAATATTTGCTGGTTTTTTGGCCGCATATGATTTTTCCATCATTTGATATTTTAAGTTTCCTCTATGTCTGGAATACTTTCCTTTCTTCAGTAGAAAATGGGTGAATAGTCAACAGTACTTAAAAGGTGAAGTGATTGACAATATCAGACCTATGGGAAGTAGCAATGACTCTTACTTATAAGTGGGTAAATACAGTCTGTGGCTTTAAAAATGTCTCTTCTGTTATGATACTTAGAACAAGTTGACTGGAATGTGCAGTATTTCTCATTATTCTATATAAGACTGAAAAAGACCAATAATGTATCTATGTAGCCTTAAGCTTGGACTAGAGAAAAAAAAGGAAGGTCAGCCCTTAGCTATGTACTACCTTCATTTATAGGACAGTGCTGACTACAGAATGGAGATTACCATCCACTTTTTTTGTATGGGACTTCATCTTTTGTCATGATTTCAAACCTGGTCTTTTAGTTATCAATCAAAAGCACATTTTCTACATTGTCCTCATTTACATCTATCTAATGCTTAAGGTCATTTGTGACCATTTGAGTGAATTTCAGCATATGGAATCAGTGAATAATAGATTTCAGCTCCATGCTGTGAAGAAAGATTGTGTTTTTACAAGGCATAATGTTGTTTACTGGGTGTTAATAATCACTAATTAATAAACATATCTAGACTTCTAAAATGTTGCATTTTAAGGGATAAAAATGTCAAGTGTTTAACTTAGAGCAAGAGCATTTTCTGCATAAAATAATTAAATCACATAAAGGAATGGAATGTGGTGACTCAACCCAGAACACATCTAAAATGCTCAAAAAATGAACTTTTCTGTTCTTTAGCATGCCATCTCTGAAGACACGCTTCTGAAATAGAAGGAAGTATAAACCTATGTATACATATTGTGCTTCCTAGGGCCCTCCATGATGATGTCTTTCCTCCTTTCTCCCATATTAATCATGGTCAGTTTCTTCTCTCTTAACCCCTGAAAGCATTTTGTCCAGATTCTCTGTGGCACTTGCCCAGAAAATAGATGGATGAATCAGGCCCTCAAGTGCCCTGATCTTATATTAAGATGATACTTGACCACTTAACCTTCAAGAAGCTAAGAGGAAGCTGCCTACTGTTGCTGTAATGTCTGCCTTACCCTTATAACCACTGCTTTCCCACCCATATCCAGGATGATAAGATGAAAGCATTAGCTCTGTGAGAGAAGAATGAAAGGAAACATTTTACAAAAAAGCTAAGATATAGTGTAGTATTCTTTTTTAATGCCTCAACACATCTGTAGAATTCCTCCTCCAAATTGGAGGTGTGAAATAACAGGAGCTACAAATTACTAATAGGTATTTACCATAGCTACAAAGCCTACATGTGAGCCAAATATTTCTGCTATTAAGAAGTACTTCAAAGCTTTGACATGGGAGGTTTGTAATGGCAAAACGTCTCTTATAACTCCACCTATGGAAGAAAAAGTACAAGAGGAAAGTAAAGTTGTGATGCCAGAAACATAAGAAATACTATTTTTACCATAGAATGAATGAACTTCTTCATACAGCACATTTTTGTTCATATTATACTCATTGTATAGAGAAGGATTCCTACCTTAACTATTAGCATCTCTCACAACTTCCCACTTCTTCCGTGTGTCATAGCAGGTCCCTTCTCTAATAACCATCCTTTTCTAAAGTAACTTTCTTGCCCTTCACTGCAAACTCTAGATGCCTTACCCCATTTTAACCTCATGTCATCTTCCAATGTGTATATACAATCTTAAACATGAAGGCTGTTGATGAGATGGGCTCATTTATTCATTTAGCCAGTATTATAGCATACCTACTATGTGCAAGGCATTTTGCCTTAGGAGATGATAAGCAAGAAATTATTGAAGATAAATGCCAGACAAGGAGGTAACTTATGCAGGGATAGCTAACCATTTACCAAGTAGAAAGTCATGTACTCAGCCTATCTTAATTGTTGGATTTGCCTTAAAATGTCTCCAAGAGTGTGAGCGCTTCTTCAGGAGCCCCAAGCTTCTTGCATTTGTGTATCACCAGGTCTTTCCAGTGAATATTTTTGCTAGATGATACACTAATTATTTGCTACCTTTTTCTCCTTTCATCAAATTAATCTGACTCAATGCCTATTTAAAGTACTTAAAATGGTATTTTTTTTACTTTTAAATGCATATAAGTTTATTTTACATTATTAACATTTTTCTCTGTCACTTTTTTTTAAATAATATGTGCCAGGCACTTTATTAAGTGCTTTATAGATATTATTTCATTTTCCCCACTTAATAGTATTTCATTTTTTCCAGTTCCACGTAAAGATAGTTTTCAACATTCACTTTTGTAAGATTTTGAGTTCCAAATTTTTTTTCTCCCTCTCTCCCCTCCTCTCCCTCCTCCCCAAGACTGCAGTCAATCTGATATCGGCTATACATATACAATCATATTAAACATATTTTAAAGTGGTATTTAAGAAATGAAGTGATCTTTCTATAAAACTTGCACATGAAATGTAAGAAATGTGATGTGAGATGAACCATTCCAAACTGAATGAATATGGAGTTCATTGCCACTTTCCAGCTTTCTTCGTAATATAATCTTCAAACCCAAATAAACAATCTGGGATTGCTCCTTGGTCTCCATTGTCAGTCTAGAGTATGTCATTCTCTTTTAGTAAAGAACTGGTTTTCAGGAGTGCTTCAACAGGCATGCTGTGAAATGATTGGAAAATATATATAGTCAAATAAAGTAGAATATATAGGATTGAGTAGCTGGCTTTTGAGGTCCAATAGCCTCTGACCACACCCTGTTGATTTAACCTTACTGCCTTGGGAATAGTCATGGTGGTGTTGTTATTGTTGTATAGTTTACCTAGATTTTAGTGAAACAGTTGGAAAAAACCTCTTTCAATTGTTAGGGACAAAATGACCCAAAGAGTAGTAGTCATTAATACGTCCATGTCCAAATAGAAGTTCTTAAATGGGGCACCACAGGAATCTATGTTTGGCCTTGTGCTATTTAAAATGTTTGCCAGTTATTGGATAAAAGATGGCATGGTTATCAAGTGAGGTGAGACAGCTGACATGTTGGATGGCAAAGTTAAGGCCCCCAAAATATCTCAGTTGGCTAAAATGATTGACTCTAATAACACTAAGTTAATAGGAAGAAATATAAAGTCTTGTACTTGAATTTTTGAAAACAATATAAATTTATAAGATAGGCAAGACATGGCTAAATAGCAATTTATCTAAAGAAGATCTAGGGATTTGCGGTAGACTACAAGCTCACTATGAGTCATGAGTACGATATGGCAGCCAAAAATTGAGCATAACATGCTCTTACACTGCATTATGAGAAGCCTAGTATTAAGAAAGCCTTAAAAGATTCTGTAAATTGATTTTCTACAACAGATTACATCTTCATAGAGATACATTTTACTAACATGTATAGATAATTCCACTGTCTTTGCTGATTATTAAAAAGCATTTAACCACAATAGAGCAAAATAGTAACATCAACTAATTAAAGTTACGTAAGTGCATTTAAGGAGAGAAATGGAAGACATCAATAAACATTTGTTATTAAAAAGAAAAAAAGAAGAAGAAAAAGGAGAAGAGCTCCAAAATTTTTTTTTTAAAATAGCAAACTATTTTAAAAATAGCCATCAAAGACAGTAGAGACATCATATCAAAAGTGTGCTGGTAAATGTTTAATAATGTGCTCTCCAGGGGGAAAATATATACACAGAACACACTTTTATGTTTACTCTTCATTCTTAACATTTTCTATACCAGCATTACTTTCTTAAGTCTAGCCAGTCAACAAAATAATAATCAAGCCTTTTTTTGTTGTATTTGCAAATTTCTAAAGTGTAAATGCTCACACTGAAAATTTAGCCATTGGCTCTTGTGAGCCAGTTGGAAAGGGCTCCACTGCACCCCCTACAAAGGAAATCTATGCTAAGGGGAGCACATTTGTAAGAAAATTGAGAGACTGATTCCCTAAGTATTTGAAGGAGGGGGAGATACTAAAGGTCTTGGGGGGGAAACCTTACTCATACTGAAAAAAGGCAACTGGAGAGATCAACAATTACCAACTTATAGGCCTACTCTCCCATGTAAACAATATTTGGATGAAACCCATAACAAGTGAATTGAGGGCATTCTCAATGAGTTTCTTTGTAAAGAACAGGCAAGCTTTTGCAAATAATATTCTGCAGTGAACCGTGTCACTATTTAAGAACGGACAGATCTATATGAGAAAGCATTTGATTTAATAGAGCAAAACACTGCCTTAAAACCTTTCTTCCAATAAGGTGTCTCCCATCCAGATTCCAGAATCATTCAAGATTCTTTGAGAGATATAACAATATAATATCTGTGTTGAGTGATCCTCTGATACTTATGTATCAGATGAGGCATAAAATAGGGAGATTTATGTTCACCAAAGGTGTTCACTACTGTGATCATTCATGATAGAGTCCAAATTAAAGGACTCCCTGTAAA